GAAATGAATCTCAGTAACATTTCCATCCCTCCAGGGATTTGGAGGGAAAAGGAAAAATTGCAATAAAACCCCAGACTAATGCTACCTTCCCACTGAGTACACCACAAATAGTAACATACCCGACAGGACCTCCCAAGCCCCAAGAATACATCCATGATAAAAATTAAATTTAGTTTTAAATTCAAGTAACGTAGTCTGCATCAGTGCCTGGATGGAGTTGTTCCTAACTGCGAGTGCTGGAAAGGCAGCCTGTTTTATGATCTGAGATACGTTGATTTTTACTGGTCTTGAGTTATGGCCAGTCCTGACAAGCTCACATGTGTCACGGAAAGAAGGTAGTACCACAGGCAATCGGTTTGGTCCCACCATAGATTCTCTGGTGGCCGTTCCACTGAAGTTGGACCGGTAATGGTGGAGGTAATACTCTACATGCAAACCTGTCCCAATGAATGGTAAATTCACTGAGCTGCTAGAGGCTTCAGCACTGTCCTCAAAAGATAAGGGATGCAGGTGCAGGCCTTTCACAGTAACTACCAACTCTGCTGAAGGCCTGCTAAAGTTCTGCTTCAGACTATGCCCCCTCGCCGCGGAAAAACAGCTTTACAAAATCTAGTAAATTACACCAAAGGGACAATGCAACACACTTCCGCACTTTCAGTTAATATTGACACGAGAACTATTTCTCACTAGGAATTACCACCACACCTATTTTCTCTCTATTCTTACGCATATTAATTATAAATTAAATATCAATTAATACATAGAATGTAAGTATATGTTCAATTCAACCAAAAATATGATACTTTTATGTTAACTGAAGTATAAAATGCTTGTGAAACAGTATATTTTGGAAACAGACTCATCACACGTGGGATTATTTTTCAAAGGTTTGATTCAAAAAGTTTGAAGATACTGCGAATACACAATAGTGCCCCAGCTGGACCATCGGCATGACTGAGAAATACCAGAGACATTTCTGACCATGGTACAGGAGAATGGAACTTGTTACGTATCAAAACTGCCTATTGTGACATAGTGTAAACAACACTCATAGCTGATGATAAACTGAAGAACTGCATTGTACCTTATGTAGTAGAAGTTGAATATCAACAACATATTTACACATCACGAATGAGATCATAAAGTTTTTAATATTTACAGCAATGCTTAGCATTGATCTTAAAGATGCAACAAATTTTTATTGTGGTTTTATCAATAAATGATTGCTTTATAAATGTATGAGTTCATTACACTATTGCAATACAATATATTGGCCTAGGTATAGTAAAAAAACCTGGAATACCTACAGCCTAGCAAGAAAAAATTCACCAGATGGAAAACTGCATAACATTAATTGGATTTTAAAATGGCAGAATCAAAAGGGAGTTTTTATAATAAATGTTGGAACATAAGTGGTACATGTATATATTGTGCAAAAATTACTCTGTATTCTTAACATTAATTTGAAATGTCACTAGTTAAAAGTTGTCACCTTCATTACATCAAGTTTACATAATCTAGGCCATGTGCTGCATAGTTTGTAAACTTGCAAAAATATTACAAGTACTTTTCAGCCGCAAAGTAATTTTCAAGTTAGTAAAAAAAAAAAAAAAATTAAAATCATTTGCCTGTGTGACAACCTGCCAAAAGGACTCAACTAATCACAAAAAAAATAATAATTAATTAATGAGATGATTACTCACACTTAAGTTTATACCTTTCTAACACTTATACATCCTACAACACAGAGCTAATTATTGACATTAGTCCAATTTCTCTACATATGTATTTATTAAAATTAAAATAATTATACAATTGCCAGTGAATCCTATATTCTTGACCAAAGGCAATCTATATCAACAGAATACTGTTTTGAACTTCCACAAATTATTTTGTGTTCGGTGGGTGCTAACAAAATTCCTTCCATTATGAGTCTTTCTAACGATTTCTTCTGCGAATCCTAATTGATTGTGGGGAAAAATAATTTTTCTCAACTGCTCATTTCCAATACAGGCAGTTCTCTACTTTCATACATAATGTGTTTCTGAAAGTTGAATAATATATTTACTTGATAAACATGTAATTTAACAAGTGTGTCATTGAAAATCATGAATAACTATGCACGTGCAATACTTTCTTACCTGAAATATATATTTGATTGTAAGTACTTGATGAATAAATAAGTTAATTAACTATGCATCCTTTCTGTAAAATTGTTGTGCAAACTAATTTTATTTCGTAGGTTGTAAAAACTATGTAAAAGTTTTTTAGAGATTCGTATATTAATTTATCAGAAGCGCTCATTTGTATTGTGCCAACCATGGCTAAACATTCATAACATATGATCCGCAAAGGCTGGAAAACATGGTAGGCAGTGTTAGATGGTAATTAACAGTGCTACATCAATATGGTGGTAGGTTGCTAGATGTATGAAAAAACAAATCAGTCGCATAAAAATTGATTTAGAGGTGATATGTCACGTATGAAAGAGTTAGTTGTACGAATCTAGAATGTATGAATGTCGAGGACTGCCTGTAAATGGAATTTGGGAATTTATAGTGATTTCATCAATATTGTTCTGATTGATGGTAGGCATTTTCTTTCCAAACTGCCACAATACACCTGAACTAATGGCAATTCTGACTGTACCTAAACCATGACGAGTACACCGAGAATTTGACATTACTGTTATCTGAGAGAGTTAAAACAGATTTACTTAAAGATAATACATTGCCATGGATATAAAATTGACATCACCACAAGACTTAAGATAAAAACACTGTTTGTACCTCTACGTGATTTTTAGCGACTCGTATTTCCCTTGGATTGTTCTGGACATAAGATAGGGCTATAAACAAACCACTTTTAACGCCAGTTTCTAACAAAGGTGGCATCCTTCTAACCTGAAAACAAGATAAAAAGTTAGATTAATGAAAAATTATTGATGAAATAAAGCATTTCATGCAACTAGCACTCAAGACATTTCTGTCAAATCATAGACAGCAGAAAGTCTTGACGCTGGCTAACAGCCAGCGGCGCTAGAGCCCATGACGGCGGTCATCACACACGTGTCACATGTACCTACAAGTGCGCAAAGAGGCCAATATTTTTTAACTTGCACATAAAGAATATTATTTTGCAGCGTAAAATGTGTGTTGTATTCATATTTTCAGGGTTTGATATGTACAGTGTTTTAAATGTTTGTTGTTATTTTGAAAATGTTTGGTTATGAGATTAAGAACATAATATTCCGGCGTGAACGCCATCATAAGAGACACTAAATTAATATGAAGTTACACAGGAAAATTATAAAATGTAAAACACTATTTAATTTATTTGTGCCACTTTTATTTTCAAAGTATAAATTTACTCTGCGCGTATACCACTTTCGCTTATGTGAACGACATAGGCGGCCATGGTAGGTCCGTGTGACACCTGCCTCTGGACAATCTGTCGAGGAGAGCTGGTAAGGTAAGAGACTGTCACGTACGCACTACAACTTTTTGTTCACTGATGTAGATTTCAATAGCACTTTTAGTATACTGGTTAACCTTTGCTTGCGTACGTTTTGCCAAACATTTCCCCAGCATTATGCTTCCGCTTAACTAATTTATTTCGCCCTTGTGGCATTTTCAATTTAATCTAGGAGAAGGAGGAGAAAGATGTAGGAGAGGTCATGCGATCCGCAGAAACTTGAATCAGGCGCCATCCGCTTCTGCTAAAGGCATTTCATTGTAAATCCTGTATTATTGCTGCGTGCAATTTTAAGGGCTTTAATTCTATGTATGTATTTGTGGGTAATTTTCATGTTTGAATATTTTATGGCAACATCACGTACAACCACTAGGTTAATCACCGCCAAGTCTATGTCTCCACCATCATTGTGCTTTGAGAGCTTATTTATGTAATATGTGTGCAATATTCTCATTCAGGGTTCTACGTAAAATTTTGGTAGGGTTCCGTGTAATTTTCACGTAAATGGATGCTTTTGTGTTTGGCCACGCTGTCACTTTAATGTTTGCTTTTTCCGCCATCAGGCATGCTACAAGCCTGTAAACACTTCTATCGTAAAGAGAATAATTTTCTCTACCAGAATAATATTTTGTTAGAACTTAATTTGCCATTTCCACAAAGAAATATTGCAATTTCACCTGCACCACATGGTCCGCTACGAACTTTATCCAACGGCACCCATGCCCTATAAACTTGTTTTCACACATGTGTGTGTTTATTGTGACTACTCTTCTCATGCCCCATCATCTTTTAAGGGTCTTTGTGTAATTCATGTAATTTTGTAATTTGTGTACAGTGATATACTTCCGTCCTAGCCGGCTCTGTGTATAGGCCGTCACCACACAACCCACGTGCTGGCGGGCGAGCCCAGACGAGTTTGCGTTAGTGATGCCAAGTAATCACACGGGTTAAAGTATCATTAAGGGTTTCATTTTGTAATTCACAGTGTCCTGTCTTCAGGGAAAAACCGTCTGTCCACCCTAGCAGCTTACGGCCCTCTTTCCTTGTGATGATTGTGTTTTCACGCACCTCGGTGAGATCATCCATCTAGGCGTGCACTAGATTAATTACGGGCTGGGGAGCATCTGAGCGGAATTGGCTAGTCATGACACAGTATCATAATTTCATTGGCACGTTAGAGAAAAACACTTGTCGGCTTTTGTGATGTGCCCTTTCACGTGTTGTTTTAAGTAAACATGTCTGGGAAAGGCATAGTTGCTAGTTAACTGATTAAATGTTTTATTTTATGTACAGTTACTGTTTTGGATAAGCGTACTATGTTCTATGCATGTGTAATAAATTTTACACTGTGTAAAAATTATATTTTAAAAATTCTTTTATCTTCATTTTCAACATATTTCCGTTATTCAGATATTTGATTATCCGAATTACCTTTGGTCCCTATTAGTCTGGATAATTAACCCTCTAATGTATTATAAAAATTAATTATACAACACAGCCAACTGCACACATTTACATAAATACATGTCCAGCAAGCTCAGTCGGTAGAGTATGAGAGACAATCTCAAGGTTGTGGGTTCGAGTCCCACATTGGGTGCTATTCTATGAAAAGTATAAAACGTAACGTCGTAATGCAATGACATTAAACTTTTGTTGTGTGTGAATGTTTTAATTGTGTAATAAATAATAAATGTAGGTATGATGAGGCATTTGTGTCATGCAAAGCAGACTTGTGAAGCGCTGCATAATTCCTCTATGCTCTATTTGCTAGCAGCTGTTCATTTTGTAATTCTCCGTGTTCTGTCTTCAGGAAAAATCTACAGTCCATCCTAGCAGCTGTAGAGCTCTTTTCTTGTGGAGACTGTGTTATCTAATACCACTGAAAAGTCATCCATCTAGGAGTGTGCTAGATTAATTGCGGGCTGGGGAGCACCCAAAGGAGTTAGCTAGATACGTCCATGTTTGCAACCATAAAGTTCATTCTGGCATGATTTTGTATGAGTAGCAAAATAAAAGCAAGTCTAACAGTGTATAAAGTATTTCCTTGTAGTGACCGCAACCTCTCGCCTTTTTCAGTGTTAAAATGTTTAGTAATGCAAAGTGTTTTACAAGTTCACTCGGGTGAGACGGAAACACAGAACCCATAGCATCCCTGAGACCCCTGAGTCTCATAGTGTGGTGACTGGGAAACACCGCTGGCACCCATCTACCGTAAGCCAACAATAGTTGGATTACAAGATACAGTACTTAGCCTACTTATCAGCATTTAAAAAGTCTGTAATGTTATAAAAATTTTTGCTTTCTATGAACAATTTTAATGTCTTGAGAAATTGCTTTTCACTACTATATTTGACATCTTTCATTACTGTTAAATATTTGATATAAATGTGAATAGACAAGTAATACAGCCCTTTCTGGTAGATTTTTAACATGCTTGAAGGAATGTGCAGTTTATTTTGTGATCTAGTTTTATGACTATGAATATTATAATTTAAAATAAATTTACCAACATTTGTAACGGTATATTGAACTATAGAGTAAATATATACACATGGAAGTGGTAATATTTTATGTGCTTTAAATAAACTTCTACATTAATGATTAGGATTTTTTCCAGCCATTATTCACATAGCTTGTTTTTGCATTAAAAATACTTTTTAGCGCAGGTTGAATTACTCCAATACATTATTCCATATTGCATAATGGAATGAAATCTAGATCTATAAGTCTGTTCATACTTCTAAATATTAGATGCTCATAGTGTTTCAATTATAATGAAATATCTACAGATCTCTTGATATTTATTTTCACAATATGAGAAACATTACTTTTAACAAAAACAATCATTTTATTTACAAATATTTGTTCAATCCTTATAGGTAGTACACAAATACACTACCATCAGCTCTGACTGCGAGCTGCCAATTGCTATGAGTATGTTTAAGGTTTGTTCGGGCGTCTGAGCTTTTTACTCTCGAGAGCAAGGTGGGAATTTCTGACAGCAGGAAATGAGCCAGGAAAGAGGAAAAAGTGCACTGCTCTTTTCTGCTACCAACCAAACGCCAAAAGCCACCGAACTGTTTACTACTAATCAGTTGATCACAACATCGTTAATCTGTAATTTTAAACTTGATTGAGTATGGCATTGTAGAGCAATGGACAGTTTCGAGGTGGCAAAAGAAGGGTATATCGGGTTAAAAGAGGGTGCCTGGCAACCCTACTAGCATCAAATACTGTAAAATGGGCAATGCAATGATAGTCATAATTTCGACATAACCCTAACCTTGCAACGCCTGACAAAACAAAAACCAAGTTATTGGTTATTAGGGGCAATTCAGAATCAGTTTAATTGCTTGGCACATTAAAGTGGCCTGTGATTGGATATGCCAAGTAATTAATAACAACTGTGATTGTCATTTTAACACTTGTCTTCAAGGATGAACGTAATATTTTCATCATTATCTACAATTACATGCCCTACAACAGTTCTCAGATGATGGACAAACATATTCACAAATAAATAAATAAATAAATAAATACACACACACCCACCCCTGAGAAAGTCCTCTATCTATTCCACTACCCTCCTGTCTGGTATCAGCGCCTCCACTTTCCTCATCAATGTCCCATGGGGCGTCTTATTACACGCCTTCTCAAAATCTATGAAGCAGGCATCGACCTGCTTCCCCTCGTCAACTACCTGCACCAGATCCTTTAATAACCCAGCCATCTGAGTCTCGCATAAGTAACCCCTCCTGAAACCATGCTGGGACTCCTCCAACCAATTCCTATTGTTCATAACCCTCACCACGTACTGCACCACCAGCCTCTCCATTATTTTCCTGTACTTGATGTGAGACTCACCGGTCTGTAGCTACCAGGCCTCCCCCTGCTTGTGTATAGGTACCACCATAGCATCCTTCCAATCTTGTGGTAACTTACCCTCTCCTAAGGACTTTTTAAATGGCACTTCTAAATATTTTGCCAACTCCCTGCTACCAAACTTTAGTGCTGCGTTTCCTATCCCATCTGGTCCCCCTGCCTTACTGCTCTCCAAACCCCTAATTACCTTTTCTATCTCCCACTCCCTCATCTTAAACTCACTAAACACCCCCCGAACCCTGTTTGTCCCACTATTCCAACCCTCCTTTGCCTCAAACACTGACAAGTACTGTCCTTGCAGCATCTCCGATTTTTCTTGGTCATTTGTCGCATGAATTCCATCCTTTCCTGTTAGCAGAGGGATCCCTTCCTCTCCGCTCCTTAATCTCCTAACATACCAAAATAAATTCACCCATTACTTGCCTTTTCCTTCTTCCACTATGTTCCCCAGAAATACATTCTTTGCCTGTTTGATCTTCATTTCAAGCTCCCTATCCATTTGTTTCATCATTTCTTTAGATCTTATCATACCTTCATTTCTCCACTTGGTATGAAATTATCTGCACTTCTTCATTTTCAAAATCTCCTGTACATAATATGGGGGATCTCCCCCAGTCCATAACCTTTTCATTGGCACACATGTCTCCAACATAACCTCCATTAATACCCTAAACTCCCTCCACAACCTCTCTACCCCTTCCTCCATAGACCATTTTTTAAACCTGTCTCTCAGGAAGATTTCTGCCCCCTTCTTGTCTCCTCACCCATACTGCCACACCAACCTTTCTGCCATTTGCACTTACCTCATCCTGCCAATCCCCATTACCACATCCGGAATATAATGGTCGCTTATACCATCCAATACTATTGCACCAACTACAGCATTCCCAGGTCTGACAAACACCACATCCAGCACTGACCCAACACCCTCCTCATTTCATCTCGTAGGTGTTTCTACTATCTGGACTAATCCTCTGTTGACTAACTGTGCTGCCATTCTCTGCATCATGCTACCCATTCCTTCTGCACCCTCTACCCATTTCACCCCTGGCATATTCAAATCCCCTGCTACAACAACCCACTGCCTGTCCTTCAGTCTATCGACCCTCTCCTTGATCATCTCAATTGCCTGCCATCCCTGTCCTGGTGGTCTATACGCTGCCAGCAACGTAATACTCCTATTACTACTACCACTCAATTTAATTTCCATTACCACGACATCCTCACTAAACCATTCAACCGCCCCTTTTAACCCTTTCCTTACACAAACCATTATTCCTCCTCCTCTTCCATCCGTGTCTCTTCTGAAGATGGTTAACTTATCCTGCCTAGATTCAATGTCCAGCACTTTCTCAGTCAGCCAAGTCTCCACAGCTTCCACTATATCCGCCCCATATCCTTCAACGTTTCCCCAGATGCCCTCCAGCTTGTTGTACACACTCCTACAGTTCACCACCATTATCTTCATACTAGTACTCTGCTTTACCATCCTACATTTACCCCCTCTCTCCACCCCTGTGGCCTCATCAATGCTATTCTCTCCATTTCTCTCCACTTCTGTTTCCTTGCTTCTAACTGATTGCTATTTCAACAACTGTTGCTCTGCCCTGGCCCTCTCCATGCAGCCAGCTACTTCCCTACCTAGCAGATCACCTAGAATCCTCTTTCCCTGCTTTGTCAGGTGAACCTGGTCCCTCCCTACACTTTCCCAGCCTACCCATTTCCTACTATCTATAAATGTAGCTCCTAAATCCCTACACACCCTCTCATATACCTCACTCGCAGCCACTGCCTTCCTGTAGGATACTCCTTTCCTAACCAGCATGCCACTGACTACTGCCCTAGCTCCAGGGAACTTCTCCCGCACTTTCCTCAGCAATCCGCCGAGGTTCCGCTCTACCTCCTGCCCCACCTCCCTATGAGCCAGGTCATTTCCCCCTATATGAATGAGAACAACCTTTGCCACCTTGCTACCTTTCATACCACTAATCCTTTCCTCCAAATCCCTGGTATTTGCCCCCCCAAAAGCTGCTTTATAAAATTGACAGAACAGATTTTGAAACAAAACTAGCACTATCTCTTTGTCTAGACTATAAACACATTTGGCACCTCTTTTTCTTGCTCTTGATCTCACTGCTTTTCCTCGACAGAAAGAGCAGAAAGTTTCTGTTCTTTGTGAGAAAAGAAGCAGTGGTCCTGACGACCGAATAGCCATCCAAAGAAACACTTCCGGTCAAACGAACGTTCAAAATGAAAAGGAGCAAGAAAAGAGTAGAAGAAAGCTCAGGTCGCCCGAACAAACCTTTGGTATAATACCCATGATTTTCCTTGGGAGGTACCACCCCCCAATTTAACCAAGATTTTGGGAATACTGATTCGTGAGCGATGGTTGCAAACGAACGCTCACAACTTTTGTTTAGTGTTTAACAATGCATACGCTCACCGTATAAGCTCCGAACATACGTACGAAACGATGCCTGAATGTTACAATACGTGACATAATTTTCACGTTGAAAAATGCCAAAGACACATGTTCCTTGGTCTTCCTTGGGAAACAAATGGCAACATCAACAAAACAATAGGAATTTCTGATTTCTATCGAAAATTTAGTTTATCGATATTTTCGTTACGATGTATCGATATTTTGAATCGATAGTATAAAATCAGATATACCTATTCTATACATACATATGCATACACTCACAATTAGGCTAC